CTTAGCTCAGATATATAATTGGAAATGTCTGTCTCTCTTTCTCCTTGCTCCCTCACCGCAGTAATTCTACTCGCTAACGTTTATCTTACATCAGACAAAAAGAAATCCGTTTCTCATTGTTATTTGCCGTTGTTATTTGTAGTCGAGCTTTTTAGAATGACTTTTGAGCTAAAACAATTCACCTTCTGTTTCTGCATTCGTCGTTCTTGTTTTTGCTACGTTAAAGTGATTTTACGTCTGCTCGTGTCAATGAGGTAGTGGCTCATCTGGTAAAACTGTACTGATGTAATATTTCAAACGTTTCTTTTACAACGCTTTTCACTGATATTATTTTGCCACTAATATTACAAACTAAATGTGCTTCTTTTATTTTATTTTATATGCCGCCTATCTTAGATTGTGAAATTCCTCAGAAAAATGGATATTAGTTTTGATTCGAAAACACGACGAACTTTCATCATTTTTAATTGCCAGGGCAAGAAATGTCGCAGCGAGTGAGACAAGGGAACTCTTGAATGTAACAGCTCGGACAAAAACGGCTGCATGTAGAAGAACGTCCCATACAATCTTCGCGATTGTTTAGCGTAATGTGTCTTAACCTTTTTAAGCAACGGCACACCTAGGAGCAAATTTAAAATTTTTAAAGGGTATACATTTATATTTTATGAAATAAAAACATATATTTTCAAAAAATACACACACAAATATGAACTTGAATGTTTCTATCCAGCTATTTGTGCAGGTTATTTAGCGTGAAATCTCCGCCTTGTGTTTTTTCGCGATTTCTTCAATGTTTGGTCGAATCTTCGATAAGCAGACCTTCAATTCTTCTTCAGTTCAGCGTAGTTGTTCTCGCTTTTTATTTTTGAGCTTGAGAAGAATCTTATTCACATAAGAAGTATCAAATTACAATAAAACTGATAAAGTCTTTTTAACTAATGTGGATATTCCTTTTGTACCGAAATCCAAAATTTATCAAGAATAGTGTTGTGGATTCCGAGATGAAATTCGGTCTCCAATGAATGACAAACGCAAGAAATAAAGATAAGAAATTAAATGTATTTACACAATAATACAATGGGTATATTGTTAGTAAATCCAGGAACGCGATTAGTCAATAATTATTTATATATATATATATATATATATATATATATATATATATATATATATAATATATATATATATATATAATATATATATATATATAATATATATATATATATATATATATATATATATATATATATATATATATATATATATATATATATATATATATATATATATATATATATATATATATATATATATATATATATATATATATATATATATATATATATATATATATATATATATATATATATATATATATATATATATATATATATATATATATATATATATATATACACAGTCTCGAAGTAGACTTCCTTAGAGTCTACGTGCTTGTAACTGTGATTTATATACAAGCGGTTACCTCACACTATTACTCTACCTCCAACTCAATCACAATCTCAATCTCTCTCTGCTCACTCTCTCTCTCTGCTCACTCTCTCTCTCTTTTTCTTTCTCTCTCTCTGTATATTCTGACTGCCTCTGGGTATTTAACGGCAGCAATCCAAGTAACACTCTGGTCGAGTCCACTTATATGAAAAAGGGGTGGACCCCATAACAAATAGTGTAAAGAATTATTTGAAAAAAAAAATAATTATTCATTTGAACAAATACTAACGCTGTACCATTACTAATTACACACACACACACATACATATACACACACACACACACACACACATATATATATATGCGTATGCCGTGATACTATTTCTTGGCTCAATTAAGATTATCACAGGTGAGCCGCGATACGGCGGATGAGAACCATTGGTTTAGTGCATTGCATTTCTTTTTCACCACGTCATACAGACGAATTAATGACGCAATCTAGCTTTGTTCCAGACAATTTATCTACCTTCCCGTAATTTGCAACAAAGAATCTTTATTCAATCCAAGAGAACCTCATCTTATTCAGTTTATCACCTTAATCTAATACCAATTTCCCACGTCTTCTTTTTTTAAACGTCACGTCCCTTCTGGGCATGAACGATCGTTTCTCTCCATAGCATTCATTCCTTTGTAGCTCTAAGCCAGTGGTTCTCAAATGGTGCGCCTGGGCGCACTAGTACGCCCTGGAAGATGTCTAGTTGCGCCATGGCATTCCAGAGAAATAGGTGACCAGATATAAGAAATAAATATATTTACTTTATTATATTGCTGCACCAGCCTCTTTCTTATTTAGGTGAATTAGGTTTTTTTCTGCTATGACCACAATTAAGTGCTAAAAGAGAGGAACTCTTCAATGTATTGAGGAGAAAATAAGAGTTTGCCTATCAAATATACGCACAAATATTGAAAAAAAAATCGCTAAGACTCATCAGGCTCATGTTTCTCATAAACACAAGAATGAATTAACTTAAGGTATGTTCCATTTTCTTTTTTTTTATTGTAATTCCCGTTTGTAGGAGAGACTTTGTAAATCACAGATACACTAATAATAACGCCTTCAACACTACTCGGTTAGTCGCCGCTAATTTCTATATAGATATTGTTTCTTTTACCGATCACGTGATCTATTTACTTCAAGATGACGTCGACTCTGCTTGCTCTCTGGCGATCCGTGTTCAAACCTAAAGGTCGGCAGTGACACTTTATTCCTCATTATTTCTTTTCTGCAATATTTGACTTCATTATAACATATTTTTTCCGAAATTTGTATATACACTGCGTGCCAAATTATTTTATAATATTTCAAAAACCATCAAATCAATTCACACAAAATGTTCACACAATTTTGGCAACATTGACCTGCGCAATCACTGAAATTTTAGTACGAAATCGTTGCGAAATATAAACAAACTGCCGTCATATTTGTTATCAGCACGGTGATTTGAGCGTGCCAAATTATTAGAAAAGTGTAAGAATTTAGTGAAAAGAGGCCGTAAAAGCAGTTTAAGTAATGCTGAAACGAAAACTTTCCCCTCAGAACTCTCAAAAGGTAAGTCTACCCTAGAAATTTCTAAAATGATAGGGAGGTGTCACAAAGCAGTGAAAAAGTTCACCGTCGAGCCTACACAAGTACGCAAAAGGGGAGATAAAGGCAAGCCGAGGGTTATTTCACGTCGTCTCATGTCACGACTTAAACGAGAGGCCACGAAGAACCCTGGATTTACCAGCCAAGAGCTTTTCAGTCGCATTGGGGATAGTACTGTGTCTAAAAGTACTCGGTGTCGGTATCTGAGGGAAATAGCAACAACAGTCAAACCTGTATCGAAGCCTCTGTTAACGAGAATCACATTCAAAATCGATTGAAATGGGCCGAGGACAATATGAAGATTGACTTCTCTAAAGTTTTGTTCACAGACGAAACTCGAGCAACACTTGATGGACCAGATAGATGGTGCAAAGGCTGGGTAATGAACGGACAGAATCGCCATCAGCGTTTGAGATGCCAACAAGGCGGTGGAGGCATAATGATATGGGGTGGTATTATTGGAAAAACATTAGTGGGCCCATTGAGAGTACCAGATGGCGTCAAAATGACTGCTGATGCATACATAGCGTTTATGAAGGAGAATCTTGAACCGTGGATGAAAAGGCAAAGAGTTGCCTTCAGAAGGGCCATTGTTTTTATGCAAGATAATGCTCCCTCACATGCTGCTCACAAGACTACTGAATATTTGAAACAGTTAGGCTTCGATGGACCTCGAAAAATGAAGTGACCAGCAAATTCTCCAGATTTGAACCCAATCGAAAACCTTTGGAGCATCGTGAAGCGAAGACTGTACGCCAAGGGACGACAATTCAGGAGTAACGCTGAGTTGTGGAAAGCAATTCTTGACATATCTTGCAGCATTACAGCAGATGACATCCTACAATTAACAAATTCTATGGATCGTCGACTTTTTCAAGTAATTTCAAAACAGGGAAAGCACATTCGCTATTAATTTGTTTAAAACTGTACCTTTGTTTGTATCTGATATTATTTGTTTGATTATCTTATTTATTAGCTTCTTTTGATCATAAACATTCACGTGCAACATTAATAAACGTTTTGTTTGCGCAATTCTGGGAATTTTACTAAACCTTTCTAATAATTTGGCACGCTCAAATCACCGTGCTGATAACAAATATGGCGCCAGTTCGTTTACATTGCGCAGATCAGTACGATAATTTCAGTGATTGCGCAGGTCAGTGTTGCCAACATTGTGTGAACATTTTGTGTGAATTGATCGGACGATTTTTGAAATATTATAAAAAAAAGTTATCTCTACAATAATTTGGCACGCGGTGTAGTGCGCCTACAATTATTGGTAGGATTTCAAGTGCGCCCCGATTTCCAAAAGTTTGAGAACCACTGCTCTCCCTTTCTCCCAGTTCCACTTGTACCATTCGTTTAGACATGCTCGACGTTTTCCTTTTCTCGTCTTACCTTTAATATATCCTTAGAGTTTCATATTCTTCAAACCCTTATTCTTCATTATGTGACCCATAAATGTCAACTCTTTCTTATTCTGAGCTAAATTTCACAACGTGGGACGCATGGCCCACCGGTGGGCCATGGTAATATTTTGATGAATAGGGTGTGCACCCTTCAGCTTACTATACCAACGTGAGCTTAAATTTTATTTTGCATTATTATTTCATGATTAAAATGATCAAAGTATATTACAGAATAAGCTTTCATTCAAATATTTTATATTTCTATGTTCTATGTTTTGAAACTATATATATTTAACTGTCTTTTCGTTTTTCTCTTTCATGGACGCCAAAATCTTTGGAGGCTTGTTTAGAGTTAATGGCCTTTTAATGGCCTTCACATGAATTGCAGTAAAATGTTGAATATGTAAGAATTAAATATTACAGGGGGAGTACCAGAATATTAGAAATACCAAAGTGGGGGGCATGGCTCAAAATCGGTCGGGAACGACTGGTCTAAG